CGTCACCGCCAACAACATGATCGTGAACGTGATCGTGGTCGTGGTCGTGGTGGTCTTGGTCGTGGTCGTGGTGGTCGTGGTGGTCGTGGTGGTCGTGGTGGTCGTGGTGGTCGTGGTGGTCGTGGTGGTCGTCGTAGGATGAGTAGGAGTAGGAGTGGGAGTCGGAGTCGGGTAGGAGTAGGGGCAGTAGTAGTATTAGTAGTAGTTGTTGTAGTGGTAGTAATAGGAGTGGTAGGAGTAGCTGTAGCACGAGCAATAGCAGCCGCTGTCGTGGTAGTGGTAGTGGTAGTGCGGTTGCTAGTGCTGGCGCCAATGCCAGTGCCATCCAGTGCCACTACCAGTGCCAGTGCTAGTGCTAGTCGTCGTCATAGCAGCAGCAGAAATAGTAGCAGCAAGAGTAAAGATGATAACTGTTATTGGTGTCGCTGTCGCTGCTGTTGTTGTGGTGGTAGCTAGTAGTTTTATGGAACTGCACAGGCTGTGGTCACAAGCCGTCTGCACCGGCAACATTCTACATTAGTGCTTGCTTGGGGGCTTATGAACTATCCTTGTCCATTCCCTTCTGTTGAGAGCAATAAATGGTTGGACTCGACGATATGGAGTTGTATTGTTCATCTGTACTAGAGAACTTGAGAAATACGATTGTCTGGTAATGGTGCTGTTTGGGAGTTGAAAGAAAGAATGATTAATTTCATAGTGAGTTGGGGGCCGGTCTGAGGCAAGATGAGTAATTCTGGCGGAGGCTTCCGTCAGAACGGACTCCGCCCAACTCCCTGCCCTATCAGGGCATCTGGTAAATCTATGCTGTCCAGAGAGCATAACAGTTGACTCATGCTCATGGGATTGAGGATGTTGTAACTGTGACAACGTGATAACTCTAAGACTTTCGTATGAGAGATCAGCAAGGCATTGATTGGAGCAATCTTCATACAATAACAACAACACTAATGGCACAAGTATGTGCACGTGCCCAATAATACCGGCTGAAAAAAAAACACGCAACCACAGCATGATGGCTACATCAGCAACATCAGCAAAAGGAGGAAAACGAGCAAGGTGAGTCGCAACCAAAAAAAAATCGTGGTACTAGGAGCCATGATGATGTGACAAGTGACAGTAGATGAGTTGCGCTAGTTCAGCAATTGAAGAGCTTGTGTATCTACATTTCCATAATATATTTATAAATAAAACTTGGCCTCCAGCCGTACAACCCCCATTACCTGTATCACCGGCCCTGCCCAGCCATCCGTCCGCAGTTATCCGCTGCAGCCCGGATCGGCTGCAGAATGCAGAGACCGTTCCGGTTCCTGCACACTCTATGCCTCATCAGTCCCTTGCACGAATGCGGTCCGCCAGCTTCACCACTATTCTGCCTGCTCCAGCAGCCAAAGGCCAACACAGCACCCAGCATTTACGTTTGAGTCTTTCACGGATCTTGAAGCAAGGATCTGAAAGCAGATCAGGCACCATTAACACTTGGCTCTCATTTGATTGAAGCTGCATCTGTCACACCCATGTAACTATAACTAGCCTGACAGTGGGGGCTAGCAGAAAATAGCAGAAACCGAAGCTTTCTGCAGCTTGGCTGTTCGCATCAACTTTTTGACACTCACGTCCTGAGGATCGCCCACCAATCTTCTGCATGGATGGTTGGTTGGTAATGATGATTCGGTTTGGTCTGCTCATTTGTGCTCATGGGGGGTATGTCGCCGTGCAATCCATCCAGTGCACAAGCTTGTCTGGTGCGGAAGGGCTGTTCATGCACCTCCCATGCATTGACACAGAAAAACATACCACACGACTGATGTCATTGGCCATCAAAATGGCCATGTTCTAAGAGCGGCCTCTCCAGCACTCTTGTGCCCCTTGCAAAGATATGCCCTTAATTCGTTGCTGCCTTGCGGCGGGCACAACATGCTCCTGAGGATGTTCCTAGTTCCTACAAGGTGAGACATGAGTTTGGCTCAACATGAAATCCAGGGTTGGATGGGATCAGGCTTCAGGCCCAACCGCAAGCACTCTCCTTCTCCCCCAACCAGTCTACCTGAAGCACAGCTAGAAACAAAGCAAAATGGCGGCACAGGAGCTTAGAGCCGCTGACAGCTGCTTCCACTGAGCTGGTGCGCTTGGCGGCCTCCATGGCCTCCAGGGCTTGTCCAGGTCCACACTGGTTAGGGATTGCAGAGACATTGCACAAAAAACCTGATGCCACGAGTAGCCGAGCTCAGTCAGCTGTCGAACAAGCCCATTGGACGCCTTCCGCAACGACCTACTCTTCCTGGATTCTGAGTCAAGCCGTCAGCTGACCTGCCGAGATGCCGATGAGCCTGCCGCTGTGGAGCCTGCATACTCACAGAGTAAGAGACGGTGCAGTCTTTTCGCGCCCATGCCTTGATACGACTGTCCATCAGAAGACGTATGCCTCTACAGACAACGAAATCATGGACATTCTCCTGGACACGCATGGACACGCTAGGAGTGAGATGATGTGAGGACACGGCGAACAGATGGAGGACCTGCGCGGACGATCAACAGAGTCGATAGACGTTGCAAACCTGCAAACGCCGCTCCGTCCTGGCCACGGCTTTAGCAGCAGGTCCATGAAAGTCCTGGTTGTGATCAGTTTCCCCAAACAACACGAGCAACCCAAAAAAGTCTGTCCGGTCGGATCACTCGAGGGACCGCATATCCACCTCCAGCCTGCATATCTGAAAAGGATTGCAAAGGTTCCTTGAAGCTTGTTGAAGCGCCTCTTGCCGGTGGCGATCACGTGAGCCTTGCGAGCCGTCTCGTGGCCAGGAAGTCGAAAGGAAAGAAGCAATGCAACGCTTTAATTTAAGCTTTTTTCAGGGACGCCTTGCCTTGATGTTTCACTGGACTCACAGGATCGTCAAGTGATCTTAGCCTCTCCTGACTCCATCCTCACAAGATCTCGCAAGGCAAGCCGGGCTCAGTCACAAGATCTGCTACCTGCTGCTTCTGGGAATCGCACGCTTCTTGCCCGGGCTGAAGGAGTCGAAGGCAACTCCAAACGCCACCTCACCCTTGCGCGTTCAACTCTTCTGCTGCTTCCAGAACTTGACACTGTGTGAGGTCTGGAAGCCTCCGGCATGTCATCCGATGAGCTATCTTCGCTCTGAGCAACATCTCGCAGAAAGCCTTCAGCGGCCTCAACACCTGAGGCCTCGCACATTCCAGATGCTGGACAACCGAAAGCGTACTCTGCGTCTACTGCAGGCTATTGCTTGTAGCCAGAACTTGGCAGATTAAGGCATGAACAACGCCACTTGCGCTGTGCTCGCTAGATGCCTGAAGGCCCAAGCAAGTCCTGCACAAAGCCGCACGTTAAAAACGCATAGCTGAATTCTTGCATTGTATGGTCCTAGGAGGCAGAAGGTCCAGCCGCGTTCCGGGTGGAAGCAACTGGCATGGGTTCCCCATGCACTGACGTTCGCTGAAACGGAGAACAGAGTTTGAATGGAACATCAGGCTTGCCTGGTTGGTTGACGCCGTGCCAGCCTAGGAAGCAGACTTACTTATCGTTGGCAGGTCAAGAACACGACAGCTGGAGGTGTTGTTCTTCAGAGGCAGGTACCGGTCTTGTCGGTGGAGCACGAGGCGTTTCCAACTCCACCTGGTAGCGCAGGCCGCAGCGCTAAACGAGCAATCTGTCCACGTCAAACCACATTATCCACTTTCTGAACCCCAGCCTTGGGTAGCAGCTCCTTGCCATCCGGAACCCGCCATTTGCCCTGATAAGCCCCCCACATGCAAGTTTCGCATGCTCTTTGTGGGCTAGAGGAGGCATGCACCAGCTAAATCTCCAAATCCCGGGCAAGCACCTCTCGTAATGATCGTGCCTCGCTGCGCATTGATGCCACCGAGGAGGCCGACTGCAGATGGCGTGATGCAGCTGCCAGAGTTCTGGAAAAGTTTGAGTCTTCGCCTCCTTTTCCCAGGCATTTAGCGAAGGATCCTCTTCCACAGCCTGTTTTCAGCAGTCAGCTCAGCCGTTCCACATGTCGAGACCTTCTGCAAATTGAATCCAAATGGCCTTCACGTTGATCATGCGGCTGTTTGAACTGCACAAGCCACTGCCCCGACTTCAACAGACCGACGGGATTAGGACTTCAATCATGCCTCACAGAGCACGCATCAAGGCCACGGGCCGCTGAAGAGCCTGCGCTCAAGCAGCCACAATCACATCCCGATGCCTCAAGAATCCGCAAGCCTCGCTGCTGGGGAAAGACCCCTGGACTCACAGGGCTGATTTCGGCATCCTGAATTTTGCACGCCATCACTTCTTCGGGCTCATTCGCATGTGACTGACTGAGAGAGAAACCGTGATGGCAGATGCTGCAGCAGCAGTACCTGGTTCATCAACTGCAGAAAATACAGTCAGTCGATCGAAATGGATCGAAGTCTACAGTCCTGCCGCAGATACAGTTCACGGCTAGCAGCACTAGCTAGCTGGCAATCTCACAGTGGGCCAGGCACACTTTTAACATGTCGTTGCCTGTTGTCTCGCAAAAAGGTTAAATTGTTCTGGATGCCTACAGCTGGCGACAGTGTGGACGCATCAACACAGCAGCCTGAAAACCTGGAAACATCTCCTTGAATCGCCTGTGCATCACCCTGGTGCCATGTGCCATGTGGCCACTGGATGGTGTAGCTGTCGATGTCGACGAGCTACGCTTGCATGGAGAGCTTCCTCCTGGTTTTGGATTTCAGCAGGATACATCCAAAAGAGAACAAGTTTGGTGAGCCTGCCAGCGGCTTAGCCTTGGCAACAAAAGGATGGATCCGCGATAGCGTTTTGCTGACGCTGAGCTCTGGACAAGCCGTGGGGAGTCAAGCTGTGCTGAGAACTCCTGCGAGAAAACGCGTCACTGTCGGTCCATGGATGCTGGAAGCATGCCTTGGGAGTATCTGCACGATGTGACCGATCCAAATCTGGCTGCGCCCTGTGAAACAGAAAACTACCACAACTGCAGAGTTCAGGGCCTATGTGGCCTTGTCTCAGCAAGGTTGACAGCCGTGATGAGTGTTCTTTTGCCTGAGATGTCATGCAGCTTGAATTAGCTTCATCTTCTGCTTCTGGCCGCTCAGCTACTGCTGCTGGTTTGTCGGCCGTGGGTGAAGTCCTGTTCATGAAATGCACTTGCATCCATGTGAACAGCCTTGCAAGATGCACGGACTCCTTCAAAAACGACGCTGACTGCTCCATGACCTTAGCTAGAGACGCTTCCAGCTGCCATTGACAAGTGTCTCTGATCGTGCATGCCTCACAGGGGTAGAACCTAGAATAAGTTGAGACCCCTACCCAGTCAGCCTTAAGGCACTCATCCAGCCTAAGCTGTGACGCAATGACGCGCAATGCATTTCAATACAAGCTGGTCTGCCATGGATGACAGATCCAAGTGGCGACATGCGGTTGTCGGCTTCCTGTTGCATGAGTCCATGGAGGATGGGCTGAGCTGCTGTCGGCACCTCAGGAGGAGAGCCGAGCAGCCGAGCAGCCGAGAGCCGCTCACAAGACCAAAATGCTGACATGATCTGTCACTGTCACGCTGCCTCGTCCATGGCCACAGCACTCAGACCTGGTCCCACAATGGCCCTCAGTTGTCAAAGCACAGCACTGCTCTCGTATAAATTGCGTACAGGTAGCTCAGCATGCTCAGCTCGGCTCTTGCAGGTCTCCATGAGACCTTGCCCTCTGTCAAAGGGTGAGCAGCCTGTCAGCATTTCGAAGAGAAGCACCTGGAGATGGCCATGTGTACATGTACATCCTGAGGCATACGCACAGATGTGAATCCTGAGCTTGTGACGCCAACAGCCCAGACCTTCAACTCAAAACGTCCGTTGCGGAATTCTTCTGCCACATGTGAGGATTGCAAAAACAAAGTGCCGGTCATCCACTCTGGCGTCGTACGCCTTGCCAGCAATCATCTCCGGCCTAGCAGATGGCATGGGAAGGATCCAGGCTGCAGCACAGCAAACAGCAAATTTCACAAGCCAGTTGTATCCCGGCTCGGCTGAGGAGGCCGCGCCAGCATGCAAAGGGTTCCACAAAAGGTCTTACGCGTGTCAGTCCTCTCTGCCTGCGCCAGGGATTCAGTTTGGAAGCTTGGCAGGTGACCAGAATCTGAAGCGCTTACCGGCGGCCATTCATGTCGAGTGACTTACACCTTCATCAATATAATTACATCTTCAAAAGGTCGTCACCCGAGCCAGACCTCGTCATTGCAAAAAGGGCTGCTCACAATGGGACAAGCTGCTTGATGCACGCAAGTGCTTCCAAAGAAGCACTTCACTAACAAAGACAATTGGCTCATGCCCCCCAAACCCACAAGCACGCTTGCAAAAATGTGTCAGCCGGTGCGTTTGATTTGCAGACTGGAGGTGCAAGACTAGAAGCCCAAATCAAAATAGGGAATCAATGATTTCAAATTAGGGCTGAAAAAAATTGAGCCGTTACAAAGCTTGTGTTGTCAAAACCCCACTTTTAAAATGGAAAAAACTAAGTAGGCAGATCACTTCATGCGATCAATGTTGTCCCACGTAACAGGAAATTTGTCGTTTTGTGAATACTGTTGGAGGAGATCTCGTCTGCTTTAGTTTTAAAAAAATTGAGAAAAAAAAAAACTCTATAAAAAAATACCGTTTTCTAAATCATGTGAAATCACGAACCTGACAAGGCTGAATGAACTGATCAACTGGACTGTTTCTCCGACAAACTCCCTGACTGAGTGCTTCAGCAATGTAAACTCAGTCTGCCTTGTAACCCCAACAATGGAAGTATGCAGAAACTTATCTAATAGTGGGGGATGGAAGCTGACACCAATAAAGAACGACTGTCACCGCAAAAAAACGAATTCTGAATCCAAACACGTACACCCCAGGAGGTACACCCTAAGTGTTTCAACCTTAAAGCCTGCACCTTAGAATAGTTTGATTATTTGGTTAAATATCGGCATACCCAAACATATATGATGTTAGTGATGGATTCAATCTCAATTCTGGTGTAACCCTAGATCATCCACCATCAACACCAAATCAAAATGCTAAGCCCTAATTCGCACACCTAAATCCTTCAACCATAAGGTATGCAACCTAAATCAATAAACTAGCTTAGTAGCTTCTAGCCTAAAAACGGCTAATTATTTTCCAACCCCGAAACAAACCTAGCATTACAGGATATATGTATTTAGCAAGAGTTTTTTTGAAACAGAAATCTTTATGTAGACCAATCGAGGAATTCGGTACACTTAGGGGGTTCTTTGGTTTCGTAAATTGTTTTGCTTTGACGGCTTTCGAAAAAGGAGGTTGCACAAAAGGAGGTCGAGAAGATTCCTTAGACCCAGCCATTTCTTTGATTCATAAATCTGTATTGTTTCTGTCCGGTTTCAAAAATGAATTTATGTAGAATCTTCGGCCAAGGATTCGATCAGAACTGTGAGTTCTCTCGGTTTTGTAAATCATCTAGATTTTCCAGAATATGCCGAGAGAAACTCACGTCTCACGACATAGTAGTACTGTCAGGTGTTTTGTTGATTTCCTAGGTTTGTTCATCTTTGTATGGCTACCAGAAAAAATTCATGCACAAGAATCTCAAGATGATTTCATTGGGATCAAGGATTCCTTCAGCTTTCACGGGCTTTGGAAAGAGATTAACATAAGGTTTCCTGGTTTCTTTAGTTTTTTAGTTCTCTTGGTTGTGTAAATTTTGAATGAGGAGCTTATGTAAAGGAATCTCAACATAAATACGTATACCGCACCTCATTTCGCTCGCAATGTCGAAGGATTCTCGTCGGGCTTCCCAGGCCAGCGACATGTGGCCGGACCTGAGGCAACACGGATGGCAAAGGATGGGGCTGCGGGCAACCTTAGGGTTCAGGACTAAACCACCTAGCCTAAGACCCCGAGTGCGGCTGAGCATCAGCCTGCGCAGCTCCAGCCGGAGCGACCTTCCGCCTTCAATATCCTTGTCGCGGTTGCAACATAAAGAACAAGATGAGATCCCGCGCGAAGGAACTCAGGAGAGAGATCTTTTCGCGCGCCGCTGCGGGCAAACGCTGAAGCAGCAATTGGGCTGCAACTTCTTGGAGGTAGAACTCTACCGTCTTTGGCTTAGCCCACCGTCCCCTCCAGGCAACGAGTTGGATATCCTCACTTTCGAGGTACAAGTACGTAGCTCCGCTTCCGCGAAGGATCCCGGGCGTAGCCCCACGCTCGTGCAGAGTGTGTGGCACTTGCAAGCGAGACATGACTGCGTTCCACTGGGTTCTGTAAACGTGAAGCGATCCGCGAAACAACCGGTCCTCAAAAGGGCAGTCGAGGTACAGCTTTTCAAGAAAGGCCAAAGAAAGTTGGTCTTCAAGACGGCAGTGCTGACGTCTGGCAAATCTGGCCGTTTTAGGATTCCGGATATGAATGTAAGCGACGCGGTCACGAGACATCCTTTATCTATGGTGCGTAAGATGGCGGCGGGCAGCAGAGCAGCCAAAGACGGAACGTGTCCTGACATGCCTCTGTCCTTCCGCCTTGCAGCTTTGGATGAGCTGACTCATGGCCGGGGTCTTGAGGAGTTGATCACGGAGCTGTTTCCGAGCGATTGTGTCGCAGAGCAGCGTCCTTTCCATGACGATCCCGAGCGGATCGGCGAACTCGCGGATAGCTTGGAGTTCCAGGAGATCGTTAGGTACCGGTTCGCAAAGGCGGGGCACATAAACATACTGGAAGCACGGTCCTACAAAACCTGGATCAAATGGTGCGCCAACCGCTTCAGAAAATGCCGTCCGCTTGGCATGTTTGACAGCCGCGTTCTTTTAGGCGCCTCCGCCAAAGGACGTTCGCGTAGCCCAGCATTGACCCATGTGTTGCTAGGAACACTTCCTTATGTCCTCGGTTGCCAACTGTATCCGGCAGGGTTGCGTGTTTACTCCTCCAAAAACAGAAGTGACGAACCTTCTCGCTGGCAGTCCGTACCTGCACCTACTAAAGCGCCGCCTCTGTGGCTCAGCGATCTCCAGGAAGGTCGTTTCTGGAGATTCGATGTTGCAGTTGCAGCGTTGGCCGTTCCGAAGATTGCAGGTCGGTGGCTCAGGCTGCTGCTGCTGTTAGGGGGCGATATAGAACGCAACCCGGGGCCGCCCGGGCCTGTTCCGAAAGGACCTCTCGACTTGCAGTCCGGTTTTGCAACGTCCACTCAAAACAAGATGCAGAAAGCATTCGGTGCCTTCACAGCGTGGTTGCTGGCTTCTCTCTCTCTCCCGAGGGGCATCCGCGCTACCTGTTAGTGTATGCCATCACCTCCGTGCAGAATGCTTTTCCTGCGTACCGCAGCCACCTGACCCCAGCCTGGCAGGTGGATAAAAAATGGCAGCTGGCTGAGCCTGGCGAGTGCAGGCCAGTCATTTCTCAACCAATCTTGCAGGCTGCGATCGCGCTAGCTTTGTTATGGGGCTGGCATGACTGGGCCGCAGTCACCATCATTGGTTTCCTATGCATGTTGCATCCCTCCGAGATTGTGATCCTCACCCGAGGTGATATTGTGTTTCCCTCAGATGCTCTACAGGCTCCCCGGGTTTAGGGTTCCGGTCAAAGACCGTCACAGGGTCAGGAACGCAGCGTTTGGTGAACTCTGCCAACACGGGATCCGCGTGATGACGGCCCCCACGCAAATAAGCACTCGGAAGCAACGCAAATAAAACATGACGGAGGAGCCTGGCTGTTCCACAGAAAAGAAACAGCCTGCAGAGGCGATGATGCAACACATGAAGGCAGTGTACCTAGCAAACCGATTATGTAGGGCAGTGAGGGGATCATCAGGTCTAAACCCCCAAGGTTTATATTTAGACCTAACGCGGGGTCGTCTAAGGGCCCCAGCTCCCGGACGGGTTCGCCGGCAAAAACATCGAGAACGTCAAAGAGGTACCCTTCATGCAGAGGCATGGGAATTGAGGCGCCGAGGACAGGATCGGCTACATGGGAAGAGTCGAAGACGTCCACGTGATCAAGACCAAGCCCCCGCAGGGCAGCTCCCGCAGGATCTTCCAAAAGAGTGTAGAATCCTCTTTGTTCGGAGTGCCGGCACAGTTCGGCTACGACCTGCGAATCCAAGGAGGCCTGGCATACGCCTGCAGCATAAGGCGATGCATCGGTTGAACAAATCACTCCTTTTCAAC